GTGTGATTTATATTCGTGATATTGAAATTGGTAGGAAATGTAATCTTTAGAGTGCTGTTTGTGTGATTTATATTCGTGATATTGATGTTGGTATTCTCATAATCAACATTATTGCTGTTATTAATAATAATATCATTACCATTGTTATTATTTTTATATTATTATTACTACCTGTATCATTATCATTGTTATCAATGGTATTATTATCATTATCACTCTTGGTAGTAATAATAGTACTGGTAACAATATTAATACCATTATTGTCTTTATTAATTAATGGTAGTAAGGGTAATACCAGTAGTATCATCATCATTATTACATACTCAGTGTTGTTGTTGTTATCGGTACCATTATCATTATTTTGACCATTATTATCACTGTTATTAGCACTATTTTCACTATTATAAATCACAAATCTCTTTATAGTAACAACAAATAGTAACATATAATCACCTATTCTAAAAAAAAAAACTTTAACTTATAAACAAACAAACAGACAAATATGAAAACAAAACACAATTATAAGTTTCTGTATCAAAAATACAAAATACAATAATAATAGCATAAACATGTCTTACGGCTATAGTGTGAGCAGTCTGGCACCGTATGGTTGATCATCTCAGGTGGCATGTCGATGGTTCGTTGTTCGTAAAGGTAACACGTCTCTTTTCTTTTCGCAGTAGTAGTCAAAGGATCTGGAAGGAAAAATTAAGTAACACGAATGAATAAGTAGAAAAGTGAATGAATTCTCTCTCTCTCTCTCTCTGTCTCTCTTTTCTTGTAGTAGTCAAAGGATCTGGAAGGAAAAATAAGTAAAACGAATGAATAGTAGAAAAATGAATGAATTTTCTCTCTCTCTCTCTCTGTCTCTCTTTCTTGTAGTAGTCAAAGGATCTGGAAGGAAAAATTAAGTAAACGAATGAATAAGTAGAAATTGAATTGAAGGAATAATTCTCTCCTCTCTCTCATCTCTCTCTCTCTCTCTCTCTCTCTCTCTCTCTCTCTCTCTCTCTCTCTCTCTCTCTCTCTCTCTCTCTCTCTCTCTCTCTCTCTCATGAAAGGGAACCGGGGCATTCCTTGCAAAAAGGGAGTATTTTAGAAATAAAATAAACAAACCGCCTGTCACACCAAGAATAACCATTGTAACAAATGAATATAACTAAATAAATTTCTGCTAACTTTAATAATAAATGTCAACAATATCAAATTATGATAACTTACCCATAATATCAGTAATATTAACAAAACAAACAAATGAATAATAATAAGATATATCACGAGAAAACACGAAAAATCCAAAGAAAAGCAATATATAACAAGAAAATAAATTAAAACCTCACCTGCAAGTGATGGAGGTAGCGTTCGAACAATGGTAGGCGCACTTGTCCGCATCCGTGCTTTTGATTACTTGATCGGCGTCGCCCGTGTACACCGTCCCATCGAGCTTCTCGTAATCGTCTGTGTGGCTTCCTGGGATTCGGACAAGGGATATTTTTTGTTTTTGAATTGTTATGAAGGATAAATCAGACATTTTTTTAAAGATAAGGATTAAATTTTTTGTTTTTGAGATGTTATGGATAGATATTATTATTTTTTTAAGATAAGGAATTTTTTGTTCGGAATTAAAAGAGGTAAACAACAAAACGGAAATTATAAGGGATTTTGTGTTCGTGTGGATTTTGTGTTCGTGGGATATTTTGGTAGTCTGAGTATAGATATTATACGATAAATAATTAGATGATAATGAAATGGGATCAATAGGCTCGTAATACACACACACACACACACACACACACACACACACACACACACACACACACAACACACACACACACACACACAAACACAAACACACACACACACACACACACACACACACACACACACACACACACACACACACACACACACACACACACACACACACACACACACACACACACACACACACACACACACACACACACACACACACACACACACACCACACGTACGCACACATCAAACAGCCCCCCCACACACACACAAACACAACCCCCTCCTCCCCAGCTCCCCCACTCCTCCATCCCCCAACCTTTACCCCACCCCTAACCCCCACCCTCCACCCATCACCCCCTCCTCCCCTAAGCCCCCTCTCCCCCTCCCCTTCCATCTCTCCACCCCAATCTCAATGCCCTCCCCCACTCATCCCCTCTCCCTCCCCACCTCCTTGCCCTCCCTCCCGGCCATCCCCCCCACTTAACGCCCCCCACCCCGGTCCCCCTCACCCCAAACCCCACCAAACAAACTCCCTTCCTCAAACTCCCCCCTTTCCCCTCCCTTCCCAAAAACCCCTCCCCCCACAACTTTCCCCCTTTCTCCACCCACCTTTCCCTTCCTCCTCCCTTCTTTCACCCCAAACCCTCCCTTTTTTCCCTCCCCCCCCCCCCCCTTTTTTTTCCCCTTTTTTTTTTTTTTTTTTCCCCCTTTCCTTTTTTTTCCCCCCCCCCCCGCCCCTCCC